ATGTTCAGAATCTCGAAGTTTCTAGTTATTTGTAAATAAATGTTAAAATTTTCAAAAACTGTTCAGATTTTCAAAAAGTTGTGCATGTTTCGGAACTTGGTTCCATTTTTTAAAATCTTGAATATTTCTAAAAATATTGTCATTTTCAAAATTTGGTCAGAATTTTGGGGAAATGTTTGAGTTACGAGAAATGTTCAAGATCTCCGAAAAACGTTCTCGTTCACAAATGTTTTTATAAAATGTTTGTGTTTCAAGAAGTTTAGGAATTTCAAAAATGTTCTCATTTTCGAAATATATTCACAATTTCAAAATTTGTTAAAAAGAATAAAAAAATGTTCTCATTTCTAAAATTGTTCATTAAATTAAAAAAATGTATCATGTCTTAAATTGTGCTCGGGAGTTTAAAAAATATTCTATTTCAATAATTACGTGCATTTTTAGAAAACGTTCATGTTTTCAAATATTGTTCCAAAGTTTCCAAATAATGTTTATTTTCAAAAAGTGTTCGCTTTCCAAAATTAGTTTTGGAATTTGAAAAAAATGTTCCTGTTTTTGAATTATGGTTGTGTTTTCAAATTTTGTTCTAGATTTTTATAAAATGTTCATATTTCCATAAAATTAGGAATCTCAAAAATATGTTGCTGTTTTGAAAAAATGTTCTTGTATTCTTTTTTCACAGAGTTTCAAAAAAATGTTCCCATTTCTGAAAATGTTTCAGTTCTTAAATTGTGATTGGGAGTTTAATAATGTTCTATTTCAATAATTATGTGCATTTTTTAAAAATGTTCATGTTTTCAAATTTTGTTCCGAAGCTTCAAAATAATCTTTGGTTTTCAAAAAGTGTTCGCTTTCCAAAATTAGTTTTGGAATTTCAAAAAATGTTCCTGTTTTTGAAAAATGTTTGTGTTTTCAGATATTGGTCTAGATTTTTATAAAATGTTGCTGTTTTGAAAAAATGTTCATCTATTTTTTTCCAGAGTTTCAAAAAAAATCGGTTTTTTCAAAAAAGTTCCCTTTTCTGAAAGCTTTTCGTAAAACTTTTCCTTTTCTGAATTTTTTTCGCATTTCCAAAATTTGTTCACAATTTCAGAAAAAAGATCGTTTTTCACAAAATGTTCTGGAATTTTAGTACATGTTTGTTGTTTTCAAACAAAAATCACAATGTTGGAAAATGTTTAATATTTAAAAAATTGTTCACGTTTTAGAAAACTTTTATGTTTTGCAGAAAATGTTCGTGTTTTTTATAAATTCGGAATACAAAATGTGTTCACATTTTTTCAGAAAAAATCTTGGAGTATCAAAAATATTTGCAGCATTTCAAATTGTTTGAAATTTGGAGAAGTGTTTCAAAAATGTTTTTTTTTCAAAAATGCCAATCCGGATGCGTGTTGTTATAGAGTTCGGCGCCTTAATATTTCGCTAGCAGCTATGTGGTAGAGTGGCTAGCTCGTCACGGTTTGCAGTTTGGTGTGAGTGAGATAGTGTGATCGAATCCTATCATTGCGTCCTTTTTGTCGTGTTTTTACGTCGTGCGATCCACAGGAAACACAAGTCCGTGGGCTGGCCCAGTCGTGGCTCGCCTGTGTGCGTCCAACTCATGTTTGACGCAAAATGCGTCCTATAGGAGGCTGAATCCTATTTGGCGCCTTCAGCGCCCGATACAGGTGTTCCCGCAAACGGGCGCACACACCCCCCCCCCTCTCTCTTCGTTCGCTATTAACAGGCCGGCCCATCTTCGCTTCGTTCGTTGTTATATGCAAAAAAGAGCGGGCGCTTGACAGAGAATCGAGCCATCGACCTCATGCATCGAGGCAGGCAACAATAACCACCGCGCCAGTCCTTCCTTTTTTCCATTTCCTTTTCCCCTTTTCCAAATTTTATTTTTTTAATTTCAAGTAATTTTCTTATCTACAAAATGGATGAACTTTTTTTAAAATTCAGTGAACCTTTTTCCATATTCGATGAACTTTTTTTTGAATTCGATGAACTATTTTTGAATCTGATGAACAATTTTCAAATTCGATGAACTTTTTTCCGAATTTGATGAACTTTTTTCAAATTTGATGAACTTCTAAACGAATTTGATGAACTTTTTTCTGAATTCGATGAACTTTTTTTGAATTCGAATGACTTTTTTCGAATTCGATGAACCTTTTTTTGAGTTCGATGAACATTTTTTGAATTCAATGAACTTTTTTAGAATTGGATGAACTATTTTCGAATACGATGGTCTTTTTCGAATTTGTTAAACTTTTTCCAAATTCAATGATTTTTTTTAGTGAAGGAAAAAAGTGAACCAGCGGGAGCTAACGATCGAGCGGGCAGCTATCTAGCGACCGAGCGGAGACAGGCAGCGAGCATTGCTGGGCCAGGCCCATACAAGCGACGCAGCGGGCGCTGTGATCGCTAACGGGCGCTACAGGCGCCGAGGAGGAGGTCTCCTGTAGGAGGTCCCGAGGGACACATAACTATCGCGTTGGTACGATGGCCGTTCGCATTTAATGAATAAAGCCCGCTCGTTACCTTGGAAAAAAAAACTTATTGCCATGGCCCAGCGTCAGCCCTGATTTGGTTTACGGATTTTCATACTTTTCTTAGTAGACTTAATGAAACTTCAATTTGTAAGGGAAAACAAACTTAATCAAACATTTTGTAATAAAAATATTAGAACTTCAATTTATTTAAAAAAGAGATAGTAGCTTTTCTCATAAGAGACAAACTTTACAGTAAAAAATGCAGATGCTCACGTACACGCACATACACTCAACCCTATACGCATGCATGCACAGCCTACCCCTATGAGGGGATGAAGTCATCATGGAAACCTTCATAGTCTAGGTAACATCTTCTCCTACTGAACGCACATCGTTAAAAGCTTGTTCAGGAAAATCCGACCATTCGTGCCAAGTATAGAACTTGAACTCTGATAGGGTGATTCCACCATAAGAAACCTAACCATGCTCAGTTCGCATAGGAGACAAACTTTAACTGATGTTCGGTCCATTATATATATGCATGTTCAAAGACACTATGTTTCCCCGCAAAAGAGAGAGAGAAAAACCGCCACGTTCAGTAACACGTACTAACAGCCTTTGGAAGCTCAGAGTCTGCCTTAAAAGTAAATGTTTTCTAACAATGCGATTTTATTTTTGAGGTAAATACATCACAAGTGCCTGAACATGTCCGGCGCAGTCAGTTTAGTGCCTAAAGTTGTAAAATATGTAAAAGTGATGCCATAACTTGTCCAAATGGTGCATATACGGTGCCTTCGCTCGTACACCTCCGTATGTGCCGCCCACGTGGCTTGACAGTTGGCGTATGGCCCACATGTCGGTGTGTGTGAGCATTGGCAGAGTTGGGTGAGGCCGGCGCTGTGGTTATTTTGTAGAAAACCCCTTGGGATTTAATTAATTATCGCAAAAAGTCCCTCCAACAGCAGGAAGTGATTGCCTGTTATGTTTGCGCATAGGTACCTGGAAGGCCGTGCTCTTTCATTCTAACTCCTCACCGCTTCATTTCCCTATCTTTGCTTTCTTTCGCGCACGACTCACGATCAATCCAAGGCGACGGCGGTAGAGGTCATGCGGCACGGCGACTGGCGTTAGAGGCGATGGACGGCCCGCATCATCGTCTTCCAGGCGAAGCAGCTCCTTCGTATGGCAAGGCACGCTCTCCCTGTTTTACTTCCGAGTATCTCTTCCTCGTCCATAACGTTGGGTAGGGTTTGCTGGAGTGAGAGTAATTTTCTGGCGTACTTGATTCGTCATCTTTCGTCCATGCTATGGAGATACTGTGTATATGGATTGTTGCGGAGTAGATACGGGCTCATTATTCCTGAATTTTGCTAGGGTTTATTCGGGTTTTTGAAAGTAGACGCCTTTTCCTGTCAAAGTAGTTGGTCATGCTTGTGTGTGCAACAAATTAGACTATAATGTTACCCAGATGTGATCATTTGCCATGTTGGTCATTTCTGCTCAGATCTGGAGATTGTTCGAACTGAAAAATTAGAAAGATTTGTAACTGAATTTTGGGTACAGATGACGCGTAGTTAACTGAATTTGGTGACACATGATTGCGCAACAAATTAGACTATAATATTATTCAGATGTGATCATTTGCCTTGTTGGTCATTTCTGCTCAGATCTGGAGATTGTTCGAACTGAAAAATTAGAAAGATTTGTAACTGAATTTTGGTTACAGATGACGCATAGTTAACTGAATTTGGTGACACATGATTGTACAGTTAACTGAATTCTCGTGACAGGTGTTGTACTGAATGTGCGCACTGCACTGAACTGAATATTTGTGCTGAATATGTGCAAGTGCAATGCTTTTAGAGATGTAGTAAATGTGTGCAGTGTATGTAAAGTACACAACTAAATTGTTTGGATAATCAACTGGTATTTTGTTGTATTGAATAGTACATATCACTGAATATTGGGCGGCGTATGAGCGAAGGCACCGTATATGCATCATTTAGATAAGTTATGGCACCACTTTTACGTATTTTGCAACTTTAGGCACTAAACTGACCGTGCCGGACAAGTTTAGGCACTTGTGGTGTATTTACCTCTTTATTTTTAGAACATAAGTTTGATGAAATAGCAGGAACATAGATGTGCTCAATAGTCAATACGACTATCCAGGAAAGTCAGTTTCACCCAAGACCCTCGTGGCCTCTCAACCGAGGCATGCTTTGCTACTTAGGTGAGCGCCCATTTTGGCTTCTGACACAAGATAGCCCTCTTAAGAGAAACAGCAAAAGGATGTTCTGTAACAAATGTAAAATCTATTTAGCTCCTCTTGTTGACTGTCAAATAGCTCTCCTGTTACCAATGGCAAATTTTGCTGACAGGTTATTATGTCAATGGATGTGGAGGTGGTATACATCGTAGATCATGCCTGTTCCACTAGAACAAATAGCTTTCACATATCAGAAACTTGGCGACAGCAAAAGGTACATCAAATAAGTGGAATAAAGGTGACATAATTCCACTCATCTACCTAGAGCTAACAGCCCACTGAACAAAGAACTGGGAAACAATGAGGAAGATGGCACAAAGTGTGTACTTGATCCATGTTTCCCAGCCACCATGAACTCGCCGGGGAGCAACAGGCACCGCGAGGATAGCTGCGCCTTGCATACCGTAGCGATCCCTGCATCGTCGGCTTCTATCGAACATGCCAGTGCTCTTGGTGTACGAAAAGTACAAGGAACCGCCATGCAATTTCGCATAAACATGATCAGCTGCATCTTTGATGAGGCGCCCGTAGCGCGCGGTGGGTGAGGAGCATCTGTCCAGTAGGTCCTCACTGCCAATAATCTCCAATCTCCTGAGAGTAAATGACTGTTTCTTCTGGAGCCATTCTGGAAGCTGGGCTGTGGGTTCGTCCAAATGCAAGAGGCGCAACAGAGGAACATCCTGCACAGTATCCAGGTGTGCACAGTTCACGATTTCCAATTCCTCCAGTCTACGGAGGTTAAATATCCTCTTCAGATTGGAACTATGGTGAACTTGCAGCTCCTTAAGTGCTAGCAGGTTCTCGATATTTTGAAGCGCATCAGCATGGTGTATCTTCAAGCTTTTCAATGTTGTGCAGTGCTGGAGCCACGAGGGGACAGAAATCATACTGGGGCATCCATCAAGATGTAATCTCTCGAGTAAAGGCATGTCTGTATCCACAAGACCAGACCATGACACCATATTCTGCATCCTCCCTAAGAATAGCTGCTCCAACAGTGGAAATGCCACACCGGTTGCTGGCGCCCCACGAAGCTCATAGTTGATCTCAGTCAACACGCTGAAGCCTATGATAGCCAGGAATTTAAGATTCATCATCTCACCGAGAGCTGGTAGGCGCTGACAGTGGACACAGCCATCAAGCGTCAGCCGCTGCAGCGCTGTAAGGTGAGAAACAGAAAACCAAGCTGGAAATCCATTGCCATAGTAACCATCTAGCTTGAGAGAAAACAAACTCTGAGGAGGTCTGAGTGCGCTGAACACATCTTTCATATGCTCTTGAACGTCAACTGGTGGTTGGTCGACAGAACTGCAGCACAGCTCGAGCTCTCTGAGATTATCCATTTCCTGCAGTCTTGATTGGTGTGCATCTTCTATGCTTGATGCCCTGCCTAGCCTTAGTATCTGGAGGCTTGTAAGGTTGCGCAGTACATGTAATTCTTTAAGTGTCCAACCATGGTTAGCTGGAAAAAAACCATGCAAGCAGTTGAGTTCTGTCAGTTTGAGTAGTCTGAAACGGACATCATTTAGCTTTGGTGCCCCTGAGAAGTCGAGGCCCCTCAAGTTTTCCAGACGGCCAACATGACTGGTCATTTGTGTGAGGTAAGGACAGTTTTGGAGGATTAGAAACTGCAGCATCATCAGATTCCCGATACTCTGAGGAAGTTTTCTTATTTCAGTATTCGAAAGATTCAGATACCTAAGTTGCAGCAATCTTCCCAGCGTTTTGGGAATGCTCTCAACTTGTGTGTCTCTAAGGTCTAGTACTCTTAGGTTCGGAAACCTTTCAATGATAAGGTCCAAGCTGCTTCTTCTGAGTGGGCTTGCAGACACAAAGAGTGTCCTCAAACGAGTGACATAAACCGGGATGGCCTCTATAGCTTCTTCATCTGTGATGCATAGGCGCCATGGTTTACTGGTACTACTGATACGACTAGGATTATCCACACAGTTCTCTTCGCCTGACCGATAGAGTGCAAACGATCTCAGTAGAGTAGGCATCTTTGCTCCCACCACACCATTAGCTTCATGCTCAGGCAGAAGAAGACCCCTCTCTATTAATTCCTGGTAACAGCTTTCAGCCGCCTCTTCTAAATCTGGACTGCCCTCAAAGAAACCCTCTGCAATCCACTGCTGTGTGGCACACTGCTGCTTGATCACAAATTGCTCCGGGTATAAAGAGCAGTAGAGGAAACACCGCTTGACACGATACTTCAACTCCATGTACGTCGTATCAATGGTGTCCCTTATCCCTGGATACGAGGAAATGAAATATTGTGAATGTATGCTCTCCCATTCATCTTCCCGGGACCTGCCCCTTAGATTCCATCCAATTGTTCTAATTGCCATCGGAACGCCACTGCACTTCTGCACGATACTTCTTCCAACATCCTGAATGTTCCCAGTGGCTACAGTCCCTCCCAGATTAGCGGTTTTGTGGAGCAACAACCAGCCATCGTCCCCATTCAAACACTTGACACGGTGAAAATGGGTCACCCCCATCTTCCTTTCGACATTCTCGTCACGTGTTGTTACAATGACTTTGCAGCCACAACGGCGGAATGCTTCATTTGCAGCCAGCAACTGGTTCCAATCATCTGCTTTCCGCACATTATCAATGACCAAGAGCAGGTTGCTGGTAGAACCATCCAGATAGCGGCATAACACCTCACGTTGCTCCGCCATTCCTGCCCTTCTCTTAAATGTGTCACCAGACCATATTGTGATGCGTCTGGAGTCGTTGGAGATATTTACCCATAACCTGGTTCTAAACCTACCTCTCATCTCATGGTATATCTTGAGTGCAAGAGTACTCTTACCAACTCCAATAGTTCCAACTATGGCGAAAAGAACATGGGCGCCTTCTCCACCTCTCCGTAGCAGATTAACAAGATCATTGCAGTCACTGCCAACACCTCTACCTATTGTATTGGACTCATTGTAATGAGGAGCAACTTCACTATCTATTCCTGATTGATCTTCTGCAGCTAGTCCTAACTGTTGTATTACCGGTATGATTGTATCCAGTTTCTTGTTTAGTTCCTGTATATCATTTCCAATCTGGCATCTGATATGAACTTCCTTGACACACTTACATACAGAGGCAGCATCCCATTCCTGCAGCAACAAACAAAATTCAATATGTGACACAAAACACCACATGTACCCATGACACGCAAATCAATACACTGAGTAAGGACCTGTCTGGTTTTCAGGTTCTGCCAAAAAGCAGGAATTCATTGAAGTAGATTTTGAGCATAACGACCTAGCATCATGTTTGGTTCGAGTAGATACATACAACTTGCTTTTAAAAAAACTCAAAAGATGAACTACAATAACTGAAGCCTGTTTTGCTAAATGCTATCCTCAGAATAGCTAAATCCGTATTACTAAAACTTTCTATGCAATAATTGCTTAAAAATGTGGATACTTACCTGAACAAACAACTAACATTCCCTTATCAATATAAAGTGTCATGCTTTTCGGTGTAAAACCTATTAGTATAGGCCAAGGGGTATGATACTTCTCAGATGATGGATCAAACAAGTATGATTGCAAGATGTCAAAGGATAAGTTCACACCCACAATATACAATGGAAGAAACTTAAAAATGAGTTCTGAGTTCTGACAAACCTATAAGCAAGCCCCCGAAATCCAAACGAGTGTGGTTCATGTTCAAGTGAAAGAATAAAGTTAAATGTTCCGTTGTGCATTGCGTTCATATAGATTAATGGTCAAACTCTCACCTTGACATTGTCGATGTCCAAAATGACTTTTTTTTAGTTGATTAGGTAGTGCTAGACTGCTAGGTAAGGACTTCATTGGTAGAAATGCTAAACGCATGGATCAGCCATGTGACACAAGGCAGTTTAACCTTCTTTTGAATTTTGACATTTTGCACCCATTTCTAGCTTACACTAGGAAAATTCTGACTCATATATACTGCTGTGGAAAGTGAAAATGTTCATGAAGTCTTCATTGCCCTTGACAATGACAACTGCAGCCTGGCCAACATGTAAATGTCATATGTACTAACTTACTACTCCCTCCGTTTCTAAATATTTGTCTTTTTAGATATTTCAACAAGTGACTACATACAGAGCAAAATGAGTGAATCTACACTCTAAAATATGTCTATATACATCGTTTGTGATAGTCCATTTGAAATCTCTAAAAAGACAAATATTTAGGAACGAAGGGAGTAAGTGATATCATTACTAACACAAAAACTATAAAAAAAGACTAGATAGGTGGGCAGTTAGCGACCCATCTGCCACCCTACCTACCAGGTACTCCCTCCGTCCGGAATTACTTATCGTGGAAATGGATGTATCTAGACATTTTTTAGTTCTAGATACATCCATTTTTATTCATTTTGGAGATAAGTAGTTTCGGACGGAGGGAGTATCAAGGTTGTTAGTAAAACCTAGCAACGAAACAGAGAAAATACGTCGGATCAATATCTAAAAACAGAGAAGCAAAACAAGTGTCCACTCATGGGTGACAGTATGATGGGGAGGCATGATATGAGCAGGAGAGGTGAGAGTTTTGAAGCAAACAATGCCTAAGCACCATGATATGATGCTTATGCATTTTTCTGAAGCAAACAATGTAATATTTTCAACCCATGCCTAAGCACCACTATTCCACATTACAGCACCAATTTAGGCATCCCCATTCAAACATGCATCAACCAAACATCGGCCAGATGGAGATTTGGAGCTACAGGCCGAAGAACACCAAACCTGAAGAGTAGGCGGTCGGCCAGGGTCGCGGCGGTGCCATAGAACCACTGCCGACCACAGCATATGGCATAGTCAATTTCAGTCCCGGTTTAACCCAAGCGGCCCGACTAAGACGGAAGCAAGTGAGTTCCATGGGGGGTCCCCAGTCGAAGAGCACCGAGCGCAAGCGGCGCATAGAAGCTTCACCGAGCGGCGGCGGAAGCGCCATGGGAGGAGGGGCTGGAGGGGATCGAGACTGGCGGCGCGGTGGACAGGATGATCCAGCGTCAGCGTCGCGACGACGGAAACCCGAGAAGGCGAGGGGAATGGAATATGCTGGTTGCCCGGAAATCCTAAACGCGCGGGCAATTACGGGCCAATTGCGGACTCCTTCCCGCAATCTAAACCTGCCAGTCTGCCACCCAACTGAAATCCAATCCAAACCTGCCACGTTGAATCTGATCCGTGAAACCCCCGTAAACTCTTCGTGTGTGTAGCTTTACTCCAGGATAGTCCTCGCCATCTCAGGCCCGGCCCTGTCGGCCCACCCAGGCCCGGCCCTGAAATCCAGGGCCTAGGCCCGATGGGCTTGCCCATGGGCCGAGCTTGGGCCTGAGTTTTGAGCCTACCAGTAGGGCCTGGACGGGCTTGGGCTTCATATTGGCATTTTAAGAAAGAGGCCCGGCTCATGGCCCTAAGCCCTAAGGGCTTTTTAGGGCTTTTTATCAGATGAGCCGGGCTTGGGCTTGAAAAATATTACACGGTTCTAAATGTAAGATCTACATTTCTCCGGCCCCATTTTGGGGAAAGCGAGCGCTCCCCAGGTCGCTCCCGCGGGCGGCCCGGGAGCGAACCCTAGCCACCGCCAGCACAGGCCCCTCCGGCCTCTCCTCCCCTTGCCGCCGTCAGCAGACGTTGTTGGGCGAAGCCCGCGCGGCTCGGCGGCGGCGGGGCCCTTCCCTCCTCCAACTCGAGCAGGGGCGGCGCGGGCCGTTCGTTCAGGCGGGGACTCGGCGTGGCGCTCGCGCGGGTGCGCGCACCGGCGAGGGTGGCCGTGTTCGGGACAGCGTGGCGAGGGCGCGCAAGGCGTGGCGCGGGCGCGTTGGGTTTCCGGCAGCGTAGATCGGACGCTGGGTCGGGAATCGCGGTAGGGGAGGCTCGGCTCCCTGTGGCACGGTGCAGGCGGCGTGTGACAGATCCGAGGTTGCGCCTCCGGCGGGTGGCGGCCGCGGGAGCGTCGTCGGCAAGCTCCGGGGCTGCGGCCTGGTGGTTTCTGCCCAACGAGTTTGGGCGGGGTTGCGGCCCCCCTCCTGCCGCCTGGATCTCCGTCACCTTGGTTCTGGCTGCGTCGGCTGCGGGCGGCGGATTGGACGCTGGGGCGGCAGCCTCGGTCCGGGCTCCGGCGTGACTTGGGCGTGGACGGCGTGCGTGCGCGTGGCGGCGCTCGGTTCCAGATGCGTGCGTGGGGCGCGGTCTGTCGGCCAGGCTCGGCAGCGGCTGGCATGCGGCTGGCACGACGACCGGCTGGGCGTGGCGGCTCTGCTGCTCTGGAGCGCGAGGTGCGCTGCTGATGGAGGAGTTGCTCGTCTGTGCTGCTGCTCTGTTTGTGCGGCCCCAATCGGGACCTAGTGTGTGCTAGCTCTTCGATCTGGGTGCTGCACTGGCGTTGCGGCTTTGATGGCTGCGCTAGTGGTGATCGCGGTGGTGCTGCGGTGGTGGATGGCGGCTGCGGCCAGGGAGGTGGTGTGTGTCTGGTCATGGTGGATCGTGGGATCCCATGGCTGGAGTGAGGTCGGCCTTGGCAGGTGGTGGTCGATGGGCGGCGGTCGGTGGCTGCAGGTGGTCATCTCCGGGAGAAATCCTTGCTCCATTCTTCTTCGGAGCCGGCGACGATGGCGCCCACGGGTGTCGTGATCTTTCTTGGAAGCGTCGCCGTGGAGGTGTGCTCCCCTTTCCCGCGGCTTTGGCTCCGGTGGGAAACCTCAGATCCGCTGGATCGGGCGATGGAGGCGTCTTCGCGTCTTTCTCCTCCTTGGGGGCATCGTCTCGGAGCCGGCAACGACTGAGAGACCGGTGGAAGACGGCATCTTCGTCGTGGATGGGCGGCATCTTCGCTGCGTGGTTTGCTGAGGTGGGGCGTTTGGTTTCTGTTTGGCAACGATGATGGCGTCGCGAGGAGCTTGGGTCGCGGCATGGGCTTCGGTAGTTGGTTCTTCCCGGCGTGCCCGAGGTGCTCTTCCGTGTTTGCGGAGGGCACGTTCGGCGCAAGTCCTGCATATTTCCCTTGCGATGCTTGTCGTCAAAGTCGGAGTTGTCGGTTGCTTGCGCGTGGTGGCCTTCTGTTGGCATGTGCCGCCATGGTTCCTGCAGCTGTTTGTGGGTTGGCTTCAACGATGGAGCTCTACAGTGAAGTCGGAGTCGCCCGTTCGAGGCAACCGATGATGACGATGACACTTGCGACTTCTCGGCGGACGTTTTTCTTCTTTGCAGCTCCTGTCTCATGTCGGTGGTCAGGTTGGCCGGTGGTTCCCATGTCATATGGGTTGGGTTGTATCGGTTTTAGCCCGGTTTTCCGTTAATTAACCGGGCAATTTTCTTCTTCTTAATCAATGAAAATGGCAGGTCTTTTGCCTCGTTTCAAAAAAAATGTAAGATCTCATTGATATAGCATCGACCGAGACTTCATTATTTTCATTAAACGCGGATTTAAAGCATGTTAACCCGAACATTTTTCATGGCAATTTTTTGTAAAAGAACAAACTGGGACAAAGTTGTCATATTTTAACAACTAAAGTTGCCACTTTTTTTGACAAACAACTAAAGTTATCACCTCATGTCAATTATAGTTGTCATGGAAAAACGCTCAGGGTGACATGCTTAAAATCCGAACGTTCAATATTTACCGGGTCCTTTTTCTCCTTTTAATAATGATCCGGCTTTTGCTAATCCGTGAAAGGAGCAAAGTATTTTGTACTCTTCCATCTGAAAAAAACCTAAACCTAAATCCTAAACCCTAACCCTAACTTGGTGCTAGATACATTCATTCGAGGCTTGTTCTAAACTTTTTCAGGTGGAGGGAGTATGAACTTGTGAAAGGAGATTTTTTACGAAAAATGGCAAATGTCAAACAATTGACGTCGAATGTTTTTAGGCAGATGTTGAATTTTTAGGCACGACAAGTCGAACGTTTTTATGGCAATTTATATTGGCGCGTGGATGACAAATTTAGTTGGTGAGCACGGTAATTTTCTGGCAAAAATATAAATTGAAACGGATTTGTCCTGCTCGCCAACTACACTTGCCACCCTCGACAAACATAATTTATCATAAAAATCGTTCGATTTATCATTCCTAAAAATCTGGCGTTCGATGGATATTTGGGTCTTTCTCTAA